TCGAAGAGTTTAAGTGCTAGAGCAGTGCGACCTAGAGAACTGTTGAAGTTGTTTCAATTTGGTTTTGTTACCTCTATTCCCTTGCTTGCCCTCTTTCCTTTCCTCGTCTTTTCTTGTTCTGTTGTGTTCCGTTGTGTTTGGTTCAGCTTCGGCTCGGTTGCATTGTGTTGGGTTCGGTTCCGTTCCGTTCCGCATTGTGTTGTCTCGTATTGTTTCGTTATTTTCTTTTGATGGAAATACTTACACGTCGGTTTCGTGTACAGTATCATTATGTTTTGACATCATTGTCGACAGATGCAGGCGTACACGGTATACATGTTGTTCCCTGGTTCGAAAAGATCAGAGCGACTGGGTGTGACCTTCATTTCGCGCGCGACTTGATTGTTGCACGAGCCATGTTTGTTTTTTTGTAGCATGTTTTGAGTTGCCGTAGCATAGTTGCCGTTGCTGCTGACTTGAGGTGTCTTGCGCGGCGGATGGACTTCGAAATTGTGTTGACCGGCATTCGGAATGTCTGGGACAAGTTGCAGGCAGTGCTCTCAGGAGTGTCGTGGAACATGAGATTGGTGTGGAAGAATATCGAGCGGTGAAGAAATGATACAAAACCAGTTTGCAGTGTCACAGGCTTTCGGCGCAACGTGTGGAGCAACAACGAAGACTTCTCGTCGAGAGGACACCGCAGTTGAAGCTCAGGGAGCGTGGTTGTGCAGACAAATGCCTGCAAAATGTACACCGAAGTCCTGGCGAACAGCCGAGGAGGTTGGTCTGACGCATGTGTTCGTTCTACACCCACTGGATTCCGAGCATCCAGAGGTTGGAAAATTCAAGTATGTCTGTCAGAAGCATTGGGACATGTCCAGCCACAGGTTCCGGCACCTAGTTTGCTATTTGCAAGGCGACACGATCCACGCAGAGGGGTGCACGGTTGCTGCATGAAGGCCGTGCAGATGAGCGCGGAGCACAGATTCTTCTGTCACAGTGAATCATTGGGAATTGGAAGGGATTGGCCGAAATTGTGCAGTCTGACAGGTCGATTCGAGAGCTGCATGATGCGAGGGAGCTGGCTCCTCGCAGCCATGTTGCTTGCTGCCGTCGGCTTGGCCAAGTCTCGCACTGCAAGATTTTCAATTCAATTGTTTTTGCCTGCAGCTTGACTCAGGTAATCTCGGTTGTGCCTACCAGACAAAGAACGATGCCCCTTGCCAGAATACACTTCACTAGCAAACTGTAGCTGAGCAGCATCATGTCCAACTAGATTCGGCTACATGCAATCTGATTGCTTGTCATGGCAGGACAGGGCGGCACTCTATTGGTACCGTGAGGCCAGCAATGAATGTCAGGTAAATGACGACCAACAATTCCAAATGCAAACACGCCAGGCTCATAGACTTGATCCTCACGACGAGACAGCACTGAGCTTTGTTTTGAGGTTTGTGCTCCAGTTTCTGGAAATGACGGATGCTCGCTGTACGGTCTTTGGTTTTGGCTCAGGCCACCTTCGCATTGGCTTTGCTAGAGCAGCGGCGCGGCCAGGCAAAGCTGTTGTGAAAGCATGAGATATGAACTGGTAAGACATGTGGTGCGTTTGAATTCTCCTTCATGTGCAGACCAGCCCGGAGGCCGAAGAGGCACGCCGTCTGCTGATGGCCTTCTTGCAAGAGGTCGACTCTTCGCATGCAGTTGCCTGAGCGTTCAGCTTCTCTGCGCAAACTGCAGCTGCCACGTAGTACCAAGGTGGGCGCCTTGCGCCAGCTGGGCCGTTTGCATCAGCGTGAGTGCCACTGGTCGCAGGCAGCAACCAATACCTCAAGCTCCTCAAAGTGCGTGTCGCAACACCGTTCTTTTGACAGCCAGGCCGCAGGTTGTTTCCATCGCCTCATAGCCGTGGACCCGACGAACGACGAGTGGCCCGCACAGCTCCAGGTTTGCTTGGACCAGGTGGAGATCAAGGACCGCAAGTACGTTGATGATGCAACAGTTGACCCCACGGCAGAGCACCGATTTGCTTTTGTTCTGTTCTCAAACATGAACGGCTGCAAGCGCTCACTTGAAGGACGGCAATGGCCAGGCCATGCTAGTAAATGCAACAAACAGCCGGCCTGCATCCGAAACAGTGCAGATGTGTGTAAGGAGAGTTTGATTGCCTGCCGCAGCGTTTTGCTAGGCTGTGTTAGTTCCCTTAGTTGCGAACGTGCGCAGCGTTCGTGGTGGCATCATGATCCGCGGCCTAGTGCTTCTTGTTGCATGTTCCTCGGCGGTGGGCGGGCCTCTCGGAGGTCTCCTGGCTAGCCTGACGGGCCATGAGGCGAATGCCACCTGTGACCATCATGCTTGCGCTGCCACGAGCTTCGCCGCTTTCTTCCCGGAGGCAGCGGACCATGCCGCCAGCCACTTCCTTCCGGATATTTCTGGCGACTCCATCACTGGTGGCCATGCTCATGATGATTCCCATCTTGATCAGTTTGCTGGGGAGTCGTTGTTGAGCAGCCGACGTCCTCGCATCTTCGTGAGCTTTGAGAAAAAGTGAAGATTTGAAGCTCAGTGGTGCGCCAAGCATGTCAGAGGACATCTCGAAACCATTGTTACAGTATGACATGGAGCTACCTGTCCATGAGTGAAACCGATATGAGAGCTGGCGAGCGTCTCAAGCAGTGTATACGCCTCTCAGTGCAAGCACTGCGTGTGGAGGCCTACAGTATGATTTGTGTTAATGGCCATGTTTGCACTAATCTCATGCCATGCCGTTGGCACAAAATGGCTGCTTTCGGCAACAGCTCCGGACGACTCGCGCCAGATGTCGAGCGAAAAGGATGCAATTCGCATCCCGTGCCTCCTTTCAGCACACTAATCTGGGGTTACAGTCTCAGCTTTTCTACATCGCGATCTGCACATGCCAGGCATTCCAGGGCAGGGCATTTTCTTTCGACGAGGCCGTGCCGTCACGCTGCCGGAGTGCCCGACGTGGAGGTGGGTCACAGTGAGTGTCACTGAGTGCCGTGCAAAGACTTTCTGAATCCAGGAAATGATCCGCTTTCTGCAACTTCCACAACTTGCAGCTCATGGACAGGTTTCTTCACAAGTGAGTGCAGAGATCCAGGTGTGGGGATTGAAAGTCTGAGGCCCTGCCGTGCCGGGTGCTGCGAAGTTGCGTTGGAACGAGCCGGGTTTGGGTAGCGACGCTGGCGCTGGGCCTGGTTTCTTCCACCCCATCCAGGAGAGCCGAAGCAGGGATTCTGCTGCAAATTCTGCTCGTGTCCTCTGCTCTCGAACTGTGTTTTGCGGGGCTTTGCGAGGAGAGCCAGAGCCAAAGCAGCACGCGCCTCAAGAGACTCAGCAAAGCTCAAATCGAAACTATCGCTGTCATACTGCTTCAAGACAACAGACTTTCCAGGCCAATCCAGGCCCCTGGATGCGAAGGAGATGTTGGGAGCGAAAACATTCTCCAAGTGCGCAAGCAGCACGTAGAAGGACGCTGCGCCTCACATGAAGCCAGTGGAATACGAGGACTACCAGGCGCAACAACCCAATGCACTGGCTGCTAACGACTGTCAGCTGTCAGCGGCGTTGCAAGCTGCAGGAGAACAGCAGATTCAACGAGGCTGCGCGATTTGCAAGCCGTGAACTCACGCCTGCAGAATCACGAACACACCGTATGGGAGCTCACAGAGACCTCATATCACAACTGCATTTTGTCGTCTTCCTCTCTCTTCCTCCCTATTCCCTTTTCCTCCCTCTTCTTCCCTCCTCCACTTCTGAGATTGCTCCTCGTCACGTTTTGTTTCAGCTCGGGCCCAGCCTCGATCGATCTCAGTCGCATCCTCGTCGCAACCACCGTCGTCATGTGTGGTATGGATATCGGCACCCACCACGACGGCACCACGACGCCACCACGATGCCACCGTTCCTTTCTGACAGGCTGACAAGAGGCTCCAGCCTCGTGCAGCCCAGCGGGAGGTGAGGGGGGCTTGCGAGTTCTACCAGCTGAGAGCAAGCATAGTTCAATGAAGTTCAATGTGCAGGATCGTAACGGCCCGCTCACCATTGGCCTCTGTCTTGGTGCGCTTGCCTGATGCTTGTGCTGCCGACTCTCCGTGTCAATAAAACCGACGCGGGCTCTTAGAACTCGTAACCCGAGCGTGAGCCATGATACTTCTCGTGCCCGCCATCTTGCTATTGCGTGTCGCGGCGGCCTTCAAGGAGTGGGCATGATTGATGTACATGACTGCCATGCAGGAATGTGTTTTGCGTTCGGTGGGTTTTATAGTTTTGGGTAGGCGCGGAGCCTGGAAGCATACATTGACATGGGCAAAAGGAGTAAACGTCAAGAGTTGTGGGTGGTCCAAGTGACAAAGAAGTCAACTCTGCAGGTTTTGGAAAGAGGCGAACTGGAGGGTCTGAGATTCGCAGGAAGAGCAAGCCGAAAAATTAAAGATGCCTTCGACGGTCCCTTGAGGTGACCACTGTGTCTGCGGGTGGAGATCATTCGTTGATCCTTCTTGAGAATGGCGAGGTGTTTGCTGCTGGTGATAATCGGCATGGGCAGCTTGGCATAGGTCATAAGAAGGACGGGTACGATTTAGGTCTGTTAGTGCTATTCCTGGCCAGAGTGGGCTCACTTCTTGTTGACAGGGCTGTAGATTGAGAGGACGTGAATGCTGCAGTGCGGGTGGGCATCAGCGCGAAAGTCAAGGCCGGTTGCCGAATCCTCATGGGTTTTCGGAGTGTTGCATAGCGCAAAGGTCAGGAGGGGGCTTTGTCGCAGCTGCGTGTACAGGCACACACAGAGGTTGGAAAATTAGGACAGAATATGCTGAACAGGCGGTTGCAGCTGGGTGCACCCACTCGCTGATGATTACAGAGTCCGGTGATGTTTACGCAGCGGGCGACAACAACCATGGCCAGTTAGGAACTGGGGGCACGCAGGGGTTTTCGGTGCCTGTCAAGATGGACTTGGACAAGGCGATCTCTGCAGCTGCAGGCTGCTGGTTTTCGTTGCTGTTGCTGGAATCCGGGGCTGTTTATGGAGTGGGGCTGAATAGCTTCGGACAGCTGGGAGTGGGAAGCATTGTTTATCCTGCCGACCACACTCGGCCAGTAAAGATGCAGCTGGCGGGCAGAGCAAGGAGCATCGCAGCGGGCTGCACTCATTCTCTGGTACTCTTGGAGAACGGAGACGCTTATGCTACTGGTGACAACCTTGACGGTCAGCTGGGCATTGGTAATACACAGGACCAAGCAAGACCAAAGAAGGTTCTGGCACCCTCGAATGTGGTTGCCATAGCAGCTGGTACATATCACTCTTTGCTGCTGCTGGACACAGGCGAAGTTGCTGCTGTCGGCAGCAATTTGCATGGTCAACTTGGCCTCGGGTCTTTTCAGAATCGAGTTACGCCAGAAAAGATGCTTCTGGATGCTCCAGTGCAAGCGCTGGCTGCTGGAGACTTTCATTCTCTTGTCCTCCTGGAGTCCGGCGATGTTTACTCAGCCGGCGACAACGGCTATGGACAGTTGGGCATTGGCAGCTGGGACAGGACGCCCACGCCAAGACAAATGGTACTGTCTGAAAGAATCGCAGCAGTCGATGCGGGGTGGTCCTATTCCTTGATGGTCGCCGAGTCTGGCGAGGTGTTATCGGCAGGGTACCACCTGATACACAGCCAAGAGGCTGGACATTCTGAGCCGCTACCGGCCTTGTTGCAGTGCTGTACATAACCTTGTCCGTGCTCGTGAATAGTCGGTGGCTTACATCTGTTAGGTACAGCTTGTCTGTCACAGCTTCAGGCAACCCAACGAGGTGCCCAAAGTGGTCTCCCTGAAGCTTCGACCCTGCAGGTCAACCTAGAGAGCAGAAAACGTACATCATCCTCTCGCTTTCACTGCGCTGTGCGATTGGCACATCGCTTGAATGGCTTTGTATTGGCTGAGCCAGTCCACAACATCTTAGGCTGGAGCGAACTCATCCAGCCCGAGCACTTGATCCTGGGACCACAGTTAGGCGCAGTGCTGTTCAGGATGCTTTCAGGATGTTTTCCTTTGCTCTGTTCCTGGCTTCGTAGGTGCTGGTGGGTCGGCGCAGGTCTTCCAAGGTCGCTGGAAGGGACAAGAGGCACCAGAGATTTTTCTTTCAACTTCATGCTTCCACACATGAATAATTCACACATCCATGCAACCAGCTCCTGACAGAGGTTGCCGTCAAGCGAATTTCGGGTGTGGCACACTTGGAGGCACAGTCACTGGAATGACCAGTTGCTGCAGCGTAAATTTTGTGTGCCTTCCCTCAGGCCATGAAAAAGGAGATTGACGCACTTCGAAGACTTAGACACCCTCGGCTGGTTCGCTTCATCGGTGCCTGTTTGCAGCCACCCCTGTTGCTTGTAGTCACAGAACCCTGGGCAGAACTGGTTCATCTTGCAATATTTTGGTGTTTGCATGGCAAACTAGACGTCAGCATCGCGCTGCTGCCGCCGTCATGCAGAGTGACTTCATGCTGCTGCATCTCAGGAGTATATGTCCGGCGGCTCGCTGCATGACTGCTTATTTGGGCCTCGGAAGACGGTGCCGCTTTCTCCGCGGCAGCGATGGACAATTGCATGTCAGACGGCGGAGGAGCCGGGGAGATGGAAGCGGCAAGCGAGCTTCACGTGTAAAGTAGGGAACAGCTGAGCTACAATGGCAGGGCCTGTCGTTCCTGCACTCGCAGCGGGTGGTACACAGGGACTTGACTCTTGCTTTAAATTGACCTGCTGCGCCTGCTCGATGCGCGCTTTTGCCGTTGTAGCTTCCTTGTAGCACTCGGAGTGTTTTTTTGAGGAAATCAATGAACATCCTGTTGGACTCGAGTCAGAATGCCAAGATTTGCGATTTTGGTTTGGCTCACCAGATGTGCATGGAGTCGACCACCAAGTCGAGGGGCGACCGACAGAGGGAAGCTTTTACCGCCGTTTTCTTCTGGGTCGTGCAGAATTCTTTGTCGCAGCTACAGGTCAACCCACATCGCCCGCAAGCTCGATGGAGAAGGTGGCTCTCCACGCTACATGGCACCGGAATGCTACGACGCGAAAATCGGCAAGTTGACTGCTTCCTGCCCTGGTTACCACGCGATGGATTCATAGACACACCTTCTGTACCATACATGCCTTGCAGACAGATGGAAGTCCAGTCTCAGGAGAAAGTCGACATTTGGGCTGCTGGTTGCATCTTGATTGTCCCGTGACTGCAGTCGACAGATTGCGTTTCCAAGAGGCTTCAATAAGAGCACAGCTGAGGAGCTTTTCGCAGGAACCCTGCCCTATGCAGACTGCCAAACGATGCCGCAGCTAACTGCAAGGCCGCTCTGCTGGCACAAAGCGCTTTGGCGCCGGCAGGTAGGCACCGTCCCGTGACGTACTCCGTACTCAGGATCCTTGTTGAGAAGCGACCGCCAGATGTGGCAGTTGGCACTCCTCCGCAGATGGTGTCTCTGATTGGGCGCTGTGCGGCCCAGCTGGGAAAGGTAGACATGGCTGACATGGCTTCTGGGACGAGTGGCATAGTGTGAGCTCAAGTCACGCGCGTATCGGATATGGTGTCGGGAAGCGTGAACTCCTTCGAGACTTTCGATCCCTCGACATGTTCAAATGAGGGAAGAGTGAGAGGTGTGAGTACAATCTGTATCAATGACATTGCATCCTTAACTGCACAAGGTAATGTTTGATCCTCGTTGGCGGCTGGGTGCACCAGACCCTGGGACGTGTCAGCTTGAATCACGCATTGAAAGCAAAGTTATAGGTGCCGCAGAACTTTGTTGGGCAATTGAGGAGTTGCTCAGAGAGTTGACAATGCTGACTCCCAGCTGCATTCTCTTAGTCAGCATCAAGCAGGTACCTGAAGACGTGTCGGGAAACAATGCATTAAAAGATTCAAAGTGTCGAGTGGAGTGGACACCCAGGCGTGGTGGCTGATGCTGATAGCCGCACTCAGCAGCTTTCCATCAACCAACGGTACCTCATCCTGAATCAAACTCTATAGTCACCGTCTCGACTGGTGGACAGCTGCTCTGTACCAGTGCATGGAAACCAAACATCGAAGCCTGTGCTGCTTCGTTCTCGTCTTCAGAGTCAGTGCTGAACCCCACAAGTACCCACTAGACAACAGGAGTGAAACCCTGTAAGTTACACCGATGCTCCTGACTAGCACGGACTGGGAATCGCCTGCAGCTCTCCATCACAAGTCTATGGAGCAGAGGACAGCTATGGCTTTTTGACCCCTGCTGAGTGCACCACAGCAGTGCATGGTTCCCTGGACATAGCTTGCCACTTGAACAGTAACTCAGCTGCAACACAGGACGCAAGTTCGAGACTAAGTGGCTGCCGGGCTTGTGGGCAGACAGCTTGCAAAAGGCAGGCCACAATGTCTGCCGATGATGCGGCTGAAACGAAATCCGGCTCGCTTTGCCGCAGTGTCACCGTACCCTCATGAGAATCAGGAACGGCAGTACACTTGCTTTTAACCTTGTGGAGCAGTCGCAGGAAAGGTGCAACAAGTGCGAAAGGACATGTACTGGTACACACAGGAGTCTGGGTTCTTTGAGGTGGAAGATGTGGATGAGCACATGCAGTTAAAATCATTCGCTTCGCGTCCTCGTCGGGGGTCAGCGTTTGTGCATTTGCATGGATGGATGGCCTCCGTTTATACCGCTCATTCAGTGCAAGTTTGCCCTCAAGAAGCGGCCGTCAGGCATGGCAGTGCTGATGTGTGTATTTTGTTGATCTGGCTAGGCCAACATCGTCTCTTCTCGGTACGGAAGTCTAGCCACATTTGTGCATTCGGCAAAACCAGACGATCTTTGGACGAGAGCCTGGCATGGCTGAGAAGGTGCGGCATTGCTGCTGCAAATGCCAGCGCAATCATTTCCTTCTGTCAGGATCTTGTTGGCATATCAGCTCCAGCATTGCGCTTGGACATGGCTGCTGCAGCTGAAGCAAGAACTGATGAGGACATGTTTTTGCTTGAGATTCTGCAGGTCGGCATTGCAGAGCTGGCCGAGGATGGATGCTCAAAACCCCGCCTCGCAACAAACGAATGCAAGTGGCGCAGGTACTTTGCAGATCCAACGAATTAGACTTGGAGGTTCCATGCTCCCCATGCTCAATCCCATCTTTCGAGCCGCACCGATGCTTCTAAACCATCTTGAAACCTGCTGGAAGGTATTGTTCGAAAACATCAGCTCATGGAATGCAGCGGCTCACTTCCAGGACGTCGGAACTATGCTTTGCGGGCTGCATCCAGAGTTGTGGCTTTAGTCGTGGCAGGATGACCACGAGATGGGTGATGTACCAAACCGACTAGTTGGACTGATTGCTGAGGCCGGCGGCAAAGCATTCCCACTGCGGACCATAGACGGCATGTCCAAGACGGGTTTGTTTGGAGATGCAAGTAGGCGAGTCACCGATCGCAGTGGGATCGAGCCTCTGTGGCCGTCTATGACGAGACCTTAGTTGCTGATTCCGCACATTTTTGCATCATTGTGTAGCCATAATTACTTCACCTGCATGAGTATCGGTCATGGCGAGACATCACCAGGCACTCACTGGCGCGACATGCTTGCACATGCAAGGCTGCATGTACCAGCAATCAATATTGCGGGTCAGCAGTCATTCTGCGCAGGCATGACTGCAGCACTAAAGGAGGCACATCTCTTGCTGCCGTACGATGCCGCTGTAACCCATCCAGAGTTGAATTTGCTGCAGGACGCGCTGTTGATGACAAAGTTAGCCTCTCATAGCTGATTTATTGTTCCGGAACGTGTTCTGAGTTTTCTGCTCGGATGACCCACCAGTGAAGGCTGCAGCACTCTGTTTTGCTTGCCGTTGCTGCATTCGGCGAGTAAGGATCTCAGCAGACAAAAAGATCGAAAGATGCAGCTGCCTTCAATCCACCCTGCACGTTGATGTAAGGATGCTTGATGATGCCCTGCTAGCTGGTTCTCAAGGCGACGGTAGGCTAGGGCCAGGGGTTTGGACATTGACGTGCAGTTCATGTTCGCAGGTTCTTCGCCGTCAGCTGCCGACTTCACGGAGAAGCAGTCGTCGCACAGTGCAAGTGTTGTTAAAGTTTACCGTGGCAAGACTGGAATGACTGATGGCCAGGCTCGCGGAGCTGGTAAGGTCTCTGGCATCCTTCTTGCTGGAGCTGCTCCCGTCGCTGCCCCTAGCTCTAGCGGACATGCTGCTGGCCATCCCAGGCCTGCCAGGCCCGGGGCCCGGCCTGGGAACGTCAAAGTCAGGAAAAGGGCGGCGAAAGCTGGAGCAGCTCGGCAGGTGCATTGCTTTGTGCTGCGAGCACCTCACCGGCGACATTGGGAAAGTCATCAAGTCACAACCTGAGCATCGACATGCCGTTGCCTTCTCGCCACAGCAGAATGGAGGCCTGCTGTCCAGTTCTGTCTCTTTTGTGGTGCCACTCGTCTGCAAAAGCATCACAGTCCTTCTGGCTTGACGCGGTCACCGGAGGGAGGCGTTGACCTTAGCAGGCTACGAGCCCAACGAGCACTGGCAGATCTCTTAACTTCAGTGTTGGAAGAAACATCAACCGAAGTACGAGCAAGCCAGGACCGGATGTCTACACTCCTTTCATGCAGCACGAGCTCTGGGCATAGCTTCGAGCGTTTGAGAACTCGAGCACGAGGAGCTTCTGCTTGGTTCTGTTGAGCCTGGGGCATCTCGCCTGGTGGAGACACTCATCCTGTCGCGTCCTGCATGGAGCCCAATTCCTTTGAAGTGCTCTTGAGCAGTCGATCAGCGATGTATTTTTCTGCACAAGGATCCAAAGCTGCATCAGCTTTTGCTGGAACTGCGTCTTGGCGATGTGATCAGAGACCAGTCTCGGACAGGTGACATTAGGATCAGTGGTCACGAATGTGAGATGCTGCAGGCTGTGGCGGGCACTGCGGCGAGTACCTTGCCAGTCCCTGAAATCGTTAGCCTTAGCCAAGCTAGCAATGGTTGCAGCAAGACACTTGAGAAGAGAGGCCCAGCTGGAAGTCTGCATGCCAAAGACGTGTGGTGGCCCAGAACTGTTGTGCTGCACTGCCGCAGCTCTGTTCGACCTAGGCGCCTGCTATGCGCTTGTTCCGAGAACTGGCAGGCTCAAGACAGCAGCAGCAACTGCAACAGGCTCGCTGCAGCAGATTGAATCGTGACACTAACAAAAAAGTCAAGCATGCTGGCAGGTTACAGGTGAGCAATTGCTGGAGTGGAACTTGGATCTCGCGCTGCAAATGAATCGGCATCCCAGTGATGTTGTCAGTCTCTCGAACTGCGAAGTGGCATGGGGAAGTTCCTTGGTTTATCTGTCAAATGCACGTGGCCTTGCAACATCCGTTGTGGCTGCTGTGCTGCCAAGGTTTCCGTGCACACCAGTGCGTGGTGACTTTCTCATCTTACAGCTTCGTACTGGAAGGACAAGCAAGTCAGAGACAGAGCTGCTTTCTTTTTTACAAAGCGGGCATGTGTTCATGGAGCAGCATTTCTTGCCCGGGTGCATTGTTGTCCTTGCGAGCAGCCATCCCTATAGATCCGGTTCGACATATAATTTCTCACGAATAATAGGTGAATCATTACCTCTGGTTTTTAGGGGTTGTTTTCAACTTATGAATAGTTAACTAGGGATTCGCTTTCTTCGAGAGGAAAAAGCAAAAGAAATTGATCAGGAAATGTTCGAGTGGCCTGCCTTCGCTGGCCCTTGCTCCGCAGTGCGGGATGTACCCTCACTTGCCTTCCGCCTGCAAATTAGCACCCCAGCGGGCACATCAGCTCATCGTCCCGCTGTCATACCCCCCGAAGAATTTGGCCTCACACGAAGGGGCTTCCTGTGACCCAACCAACGATCACAGAAAGTTGGGCTGGCAGCTCAAGCACTCACAGAACAATAACCACATGGAGAGGTGTATTGCTTACAGGGTAGGAATTTAGGCAGTCTCGAGGAGAAAAAAAACTGTGAAACAAATAATCCGATCCGTTTCTTGAAACGTGCAGCAAGTGATGGAAGAGGCGGCGGCGGACTTCAACGAGGAGTTTGGGTTGGAACAGCAGGGGGAATGGCCGGATGTGTTGGGCCCGTATGTGTACCCGCGACGCTTTGAGGCGGGCAAGGACTGGTTAACGTGGTGTCGGAATAGAGGGAGCATGAGCACTTTCTGTGGACCCCAAAATCGTGTCACGACAGCTGCTGCCATTGCTTTTTGGGCACTACTGCAATCGGCCTCACGAGCCTCCTGCGACTCAAATTGGACCAATCTTCGCTGGTAACATCGTGCAAGCGGAAGGGGGAGGAAACGGAAAGGAGAAAACTTGCTGTTCTTGGGACATCAACTGCCGGGGGTTACGCCATCCCAGCATGGAACAATGGAAGCAAAAGGCTTCATCTTAACGGTACGATCCAAACAAGAAACATGCTTTGAAAAGAATCCAGGCCAGAAGCTTATCATGATGACGAAACTGCCTCGAACACGAAAGTCCGGACTGATTTCCGAACCCAAATGACTTCATGTGCCTTATGCCGACTATGTGATCAGCAGTGACATGATGCTCTTGGATGATTTATAGAAACACATCTTTAAACCTACGGACAAGGATTCCTACAGACTTCTCCTGATCACAAAGCCCTGGAAACAAGCCAAAAGACGCTACAAACTCAACTGCAAGAACCACCCAGCTGGTCCTATCTTGTGTCTTGTGTATGCTTAGTCCCCCACTT